CCACACAGGAGAGAAACCCTTCAGCTGCTCTGACTGTGGGAAAAGCTTCAGTCAGACCTCAGCCCTTGTTATCCATAGGAGACTCCACACAGGAGAGAAACCCTTCAGCTGCTCTGACTGTGGGAAAAGCTTCAGTCAGACCTCAACGCTTGTTAGACATAGGAAAACCCATATGGAAGAAGCTATTCACCTGCTCTCACTAGGAAATGCTGCAGTCAGAGGTCACACCTTGTTATCCATGAGAACTCTCACAGGAGAGAAATCCTTTAACTGCTCTGACTGTGGGAAATCCTGTAGCGAGAGTTCAAGCCTTGTTGCATATAGTTGAACCTACACAGGTGAGAAAACCTATAGTGGGGGTGAGCAAAATGTTCTCTGTTGGCAGAATCCAGCCTTCCTAAGACTTTGATCCTGTCCACAAGGCAGTGCGAGGCCCCACTTCCAAATGAGCATGTGCTGAGGGTGAAGGAGCTTAGCCCCATCCCCTCTTCATGGTTTGTAGCCACTATAGAGGAGGCAATGCTAGGCTGAGTCTTTGCCACACAACCTGAGGCCGGCACTAGAGGCACTGCTGGCCTCCAGGGCCACATGGCCATGTCAGGGGTGCATGGCTGCAGTAGGAACACCTCCAGGCCTGGACTGAATGGGAGCAGTAGTGGTGCCTCTGGTGTCCGGGGCTGGTCCTAGTCTGTGTGGCTGCTGCTGCAGCAGTAGAGCCTCTCTCTGCGGTGACCAAGACAGTGTGGCTGGAGATGTTGCTGCAAGGGATCCCAAAGCCAGGTAATATTTGCTGTCCTTCCCAGACACTCTCTCCCAATCTCCTCAATTCCCTTTCCCCTGGCAGCCAGCACCCCCAGCTTGCACTGACACCCTCCTTTTTTCTTGCACCCTCTCTCCTGGCCACACATTGCTCATTCCCCCAGGACAGACACCTGCCTGCTTCTGCATCCCAGATCCTTCTTCAAGACTCCAACCCTTTCTTGATGCCCCTGTCATGTTATTGGATTTTAAGGTGAGCATACTCACCTTAAGATCATTGCTGTGCTCATAGGAAACTGTTTGCCCCAAATTTGGTACAGTGTGGGCCATGTGAGGTGTCAAATGCAAGGTGATATTGTGCTGATTCTATGTGTGGTATTCATGTACTTGTTTGGAGTTTGTATGGGGAGTTATGACTATGGGCTCTGCTGATGCTGTGTATGGACTGCCTGTCATGAGGAAGGAATCTCCAATGAGTTACTATGCTAATCCGTATGGCTCCAAGGACAGTGGTTCTCAGGGTGGCAAATACACACCTGAAGAATGCATGTGGAAAGCTGCAAAGCAGCCAGGGCACAATGGCTGCTGGCATATGAAACAGGTCACTTGACTATGTAACTAGCTCCAGCTTGGGAGACCCAGAAATGAATATCAAATGTCATGAGGGGGGGCTCCATCTTGTCTTCAGTCTTGCTACTTATCCCAGATGCAGCCTTGCTAAGGACAGAGACGCGGGAAGGATTGCTGACCCATCCTGACATACAATGTACACCAAAGACTTTTATGCTAGCAGTTTGTAACATCTCTGCTAAGATCCTGCATCAGAAATTTGCTGATTGATGTATGCAATGTATTCTCCTTAACAGCCTTACTCTCAACCTTTTCTTTCTTTTATTAATAAACCTTTAGATTCCAAAGGATTGGTCCACTGTGATCTTGTGGGTAAGATCTAAAGTATAAATTGACCAGGGATTCATGGCTGGTTCTTTTGAACCCGGTGGATCTGTTCTGGGTTGGATAGATTGGGCTCTATAACCCCTCACCTGTGTGTAAGCCTAGGGCTGATTGTGTCTTAGGAAGTGCTGGGGTATTTGAGGGGTTTTCCTCATGAGGCTTCCTGCAGGCTGGATTGGCAGCTGAAGTGCTCAGTGTGACTGGTTTGTGGCCTATTTTGGAAAAGTCTCCAGTCAAGGGCTGTAAGCAGTCCTGGTTTTGAGCAATTTGCCCTGAGTGGATTCCCTCAGCGGTGCTCAGGCCTGGCCCGGCCCAGCTAATCACAGCCCTGCCCTCTTCTGTAGATTACTGTTGCTAATAGAAACTCACTATTAATGACATAATTAGTCAAGCCATTTTGCTAGGACTGCATCTGGGCAGTTGCATTTGAATTATTAAAGAGATTAAACCTTTTAACTTTCTCATGTTAGTTGATCAAACTTTATTTTAAATTAAGTAAAATATTTATGTTCAATACATACTGTGGAGGTAGGCCTCACTAGCCTGGCCAAAGACTGAACCGTACGCAGTGCATCCTGCGTCAGAAGCGAGCTTCCTAAGCAAGTTGAGCAAGAAACCACAATGCTGTTAACAAATTGCAAGCAGTGCGATTTTTTTGTTTGTTTATCGGGTCAAGCAGAAATTACCATTTAAGGATAAAGTGCCTTACTTCCTCTTTTCTCTGTAAATTTCCACTGTGACTTTGTAAGAAGGTATAAATATCACAGACATTTGAGTGTGAGGAAGGGGCTTGTATTGGTAAGGGGTGACTCCCTGCCATCTGTGACAACCCCCCCCCAGCTGGATTTTTAAGGTGGTTTTGTCTGTCTTGAACCCTAAAGCTAGCGTGTGTTTATTCCACGACAGCTGGGAGTAGCTGAAGCCAAGAGCCCTGTTCTACTGTGTCAACAATCTCTGAGGTGGCATAAAATCCCCTCTCCATTTTCTAACCCTGAAATATCATCGTCTTTTTGATGTCATTCCCGGCCTCTTGATACAGCCTTTGAACTTGACTGCAGAGCTATGTCTATACTTTTGGGTTCTTGTATGAGTATGGCTGTTCTTGTGCAAGAATCCGCAGAGTGTCCATGCTGCCCGCCTTCTCTTGCACAAGAAGATTTATTGTACTGTGTGGTAAGAGAGGGCTTCTTGTGCAAGAGCTATGCTCTTTTTTTAACAGGTGTAAACCCTCTTGCACAAATGGGCAGTGTGGACGCTCGGGAGGGGTTTCTTGTGCAAGAAAGCCCTATGGCTAAAATGGCCATTGGAAAGTTCTTGCACAAGAGAGCATCCACACCGCCATGGATGCTCTTGCACAAAAGCACAGCTCACACATGGCAGTGTGGACGTGTTCTTGCGCAAAACTTGTGTAGACATAGCCCAGATGTTTGCTTACCAGAGATGGAGAGATGCCAAAATAGACTAAGCCATCTCGAGAAAGGCTTCTGCCAAAGCCAGGGACTGAACCAGGACCCTTCAAATCTTCAGTCTAACACTCTCCCAACTGAACTACTGTGGCAACTGTCTGCAGCTTTCTAAGGCCGATACTTCTGTGATGGTGGGGGGCTGTGGGTGACCTCCACTGGCTGCTGTCTGTAGCATGGCCCAGCAGGGCAGGGGGTGAGTCATTATGCAAAAAGGGTCTTTCAACCTGTCCGACCAGCTACCCCCCAGGGAGAGAAACAAAGGAAGGTGGAATGCCGCCCCTGGCTGGGGGTGAGGGCTAGAAGAGAGTTAGTTAGTTTCTGTCTGGGATCATGGAGGAGACAGCCTAGTGAAAGGGGCTGGAATTTAGGGGCCCAGTCTCCCCCATCTCAAGGGGGACTGAGGCATCCTAGCCCCAGTTCCTGTAACCAGATTACACCTGTGCTGTGCTGTATCCTTGAGGAGCAATAAACTCCCTCTATTCTACTGGCTGGTGGAGTCTGTTTGTGCCACTACAGGGGTGCAGGAGATGGGAAAACCTCAATGCATCATCACACTGGTGTTAGAAGTGGGATGCCCTGCACCCTGTGGATGGAGCTTCCAGTGGCAAGCGACAAGGCGCAATAGAAGCAAGAGCCCTGGAGCCAGGCATGCTGGAGACAGAGCAAAGCAGTTCCTGAGAATCGTGCGGCACTGCAGCACTAGACTAGTGAGTCTGCACTGAGGGGACCAGCAGGGAGATGGCCTATGCCCAACTCTTGAAGGCAGAGCTGGTGAAGCTGTGCGGAGAGAGGGGACTGACTGCCTGTGCAGAAAGCAACCATGGCCCAGCTGATTGCCAGGCTGGAGGAGAATGACCAGTCACAGGGCCAGGCTCTTGTGCCTGTGGGAAGCAGCCAGACCCCACCTGGAAGCGTCTCAGGCTCAGAGAGGGGGTGGAGCACTGGAGCCCGCCAGAGAGATGGGACAGCTTCCCAGGGAAGCCCTGCAAGCCGTAGTCTACATAGGGCAGGGTGCATCCCAGCAGAGCTGAGGCGACTGGAGATCCAGCTGCAGATGAAGGAATTGGAAGTAGAGGACCGAGAGAAGGAGAGCCAAGATCGAGAAAGGGACTGCCAGGACCAAGAGAGGCAGTGACAGCATGAGTTGGCCATGGCAGAGCGGAGAACCGGTGGGGCCCCGACCGTGCTGAGTGCGGATGGGCCCCAAGGTCCCAGGGCTGCCAGATGCTTGGAGAGGCTCGTGGTGGCGTAATTGAAGGATATGGGAGACATAGACGGGTTCCTCAGCTCCTTTTAGAGGGCCTGTGGACTGCAACGGGTCCCCCCAGCTGGCTGGCTGCAGGAGCTCATCCCCGCACTGAACCAGGAGGCGGCCGGAGTGCTCAGTCAGCTGGAGGACCTACAGCCAGGGGATTACAACCGAGTCAAGGAGGCCCTGCTGCACAAGTTCGGGCTGACCCCCGAGATGTACAGGAAGAAGTTCCGGGGGGTACAGAAAGGGCCACGGGAGACCTATGGGGCCCTGGCCTCCCGCCTGGCGCAATACTGCCGCAAGTGGGTGTCTGGAGTCGGAGCCCAGACCGCAGAGGAGCTGCTCAAGCTGGTCATGATGGAGCAGTTCTATGAAGCGTGCCCACCCAAACTGAGGCTGTGGCTCAAGGACCGGAGACCAGAGAACCCCCAGGAGGCCGGGAGACTGGCGGATGAGTTCACGGAGAGCCGGTCCGGGTGTGAACGGGAGTCCCGGAGAGAAAGGGAACCGCGCAGAGACCGGATCTCGGCTGAGCGACGGAGGGAGTCAACTACGGGGCGAGAACAAGGAACAGGTCGTCAGCGCGGAGGAGCTGCTCAAGCTGGTCATGATGGAGCAGTTCTATGAAGCATGCACACCCAGACTGAGGCTATGGCTCAAGGACCAAAGATCAGAGAACCCTCAGGAGGCTGGCGGATGAGTTCACAGAGAGCCGGTCCAGGTGTGAACAGGAGTCCCGGAGTGAAAGGGAACCGCGCAGAGACCGGTTCTCGGCTGAGCGATGGAGAGAGGCACCTCTGAGGCAGGGACCAGGACCAGTCATCGATGCCCCAGAAAACCAGTCAGGGCCTGGACAGAGGTGGAGGAAGGGCAGGCTGCCCCAGAGGCAGGGGCCGGCAGGCAAACCTCAGCTCAGAGAGAGGGGAAGGATGCTCAGTGCACCTCCCCTGGGAGGTCTGATCCTCAGGAGGCGGATTTCTCCATGTACCGGGTGGGGACAGGACAGCCCCTGCGGAGCGAATACCTCATACCCCTGCAGGTGGGCAGCAAGTTGGTGACAGGTTTCTGGGACACGGGGGCGGAGGTGACGCTGGCCCGGTCCGACATAGTGGCCCCAGACATGGTACTACCCCCCACTGAACTGATCCTGAAGGGCATAGATGGGTCCCCATTTAAGGTGCCTGTAGCCAGGGTGCATCTGAAATGGGGGGCCAAGGAAGGTTTCAAGGAAGTGGGAGTGCACCTGCACTTGCTCACTGAAGAGCTGATGGGGAATGACCTAGAGGAGTGACCCCATGAATCCCAGTGGGGGGCTGCCAACCTGGATCCAGGGGAGGACTCCCA